TTTTTTTTTTTTTTTTTTGGTACCAGGGATTGAACTCAGGTCCTTGTGCTTGTGAGGCAGGAGACGGAATCACTGAGCTAAATCCCCAGCCCTGGTCATCAACTTTTAATTGGTAGTGGGTTCTGTGGAGATTAGTATCACAGGACAGATATTTGAAGGGACACAGATGAGATACTGAGAGAAAGAAGAAAGTGATGACCACACAAAGCAAAACCGAGAGACATTTGGAGGCAGGCTTCTGATTAGATTTTTAATCTGACTTTTTGTATGTTTTTCTTCTTCCTTGGTACATTTTTTAAAATGTTGTCAATCCTCCATTAACTGCACTTTCCGTTTCTTGATGGACTATGGGAGTAGGCTTTGGTTTTATCTCTCAAAATGTGTGCCCTTTCATCCAAAGACTTAGCATGTTAATGCCATGATTCTGGGGTACGGTTAAGGGAATGTCATCCATCCTCGTAATCTTGAAAAGGATAATTTCACAGGGGTTGCTTCAACGAAGCTTTGTCTTTCTGTTTCACAGGAATCACCACAGTGCTGACAATGACAACCATCAGCACTCACCTCAGGGAGACCCTGCCAAAGATCCCTTATGTCAAAGCAATTGACATTTATCTGATGGGCTGCTTTGTGTTTGTGTTCCTGGCTCTGCTGGAATATGCCTTTGTAAATTACATCTTTTTTGGTAAGGGCCCTCAGAAAAAGGGAGCAAGCAAACAAGATCAAAGTGCCAATGAGAAGAACAAACTGGAGATGAATAAAGTCCAGGTAATGTATTATTACTAATATTACTAATAATGCTTACTTCTCCCAGATTTATCAGTGCAGTACCCAGGACAATCATAGCAGCAAACAGCTACTTATAAAATCTAGTTTATTTTGATTAAAACTCAATCAACAATTCATTTTGCATATTTGGGAAATGAAGACTAAAAAAGTTAGGCTGAAGGTTATATAGATTAATACTATATTTTATTAGTCAGTTTTGCGTTACTATGAAAAATACCTGAGGCAGGCTAGTCTTATAAAGAAAAGAGTTTTGTTTAGCTCATCGTTTTGAACTCTTAAATTTCAAACAGCACAGTGCTGACTCTAGCACTACAGTAGATGACGGCGGCATGGGCAGGAGAAAGTGGTCACATCACGCAGCAGGAACCACACAGCAATTCAAGGATCCTTCCACTCCTTCAACTTCTTCCCAAGGCAGAACCTCCAATTAACCTACCTACCTCCTGTTGGCCTCATGTCTTAAGGTCCGACCTCCCAACATCACCACACTGAGAAGCAAGCTTCCAACACACGAACGCTGGAAGTCACACTTAAGCCATATCTGAAGCATCATACATACCTAACCCTGGAACTCGAGCCCACGTTCATCATTACTGATTTCAAATTATCTGTCAAAGAACAAGGCAAGATCTATTTGGTAAATAAATAAGAGCAAGAAAGTGAATATACTCTGTACTCCTAAGTGGAAATGAGGCCATACCCACAGAGATTACAGGCCCAGTCAAGTCATGGAAAACCAGACTAGGAATTCCACAGATATTTTTCACAAAAAGGCAGGCAAATTTATACCAAAATTCAAAAACAAGAAAAGACATGTTAAGATAGGGCAGAATGTTTGTATCAGATGCACCATTCCACAAATAAAAAATTATAACTACTGAGAAAAAAGTTAATTCTGGGGCCAGGGATTTAGCTCAGTGATTCCACTGCCTGCCTCACAAGCACAAGGTCCTGAGTTCAATCCCCGGTACCAAAAATAAATAAATAAATAAATAAATAAATAAATAAATAAATAAATAAATAAATAATTCTGCTTATTACATGAGACACAAAGATGAGCAAAAACTAGAAAAGACACAAGGTCCAGTTCAATCCCCGGTACCAAAAATAAATAAATAAATAAATAAATAAATAAATAAATAAATAAATAAATAAATAATTCTGCTTATTACATGAGACACAAAGATGAGCAAAAACTAGAAAAGAATCAACCCTCCAAAGAAGAGAGCCATACAGTGTAAGTCATCAGCTGTGTTTATACAGCTTTTCCTGCAGGCCCCTCTCCACTCAGGGGTGCATGCAGCAGAACTGCAACAGAAAACTGCAGTCTTTTGGGGTGAAGGAGTCCAAGGGAGATTTTGATCCTTCCATAGTTTCTGAAATTCTCAGAAATAAGTGAGCCATGACAGGTACTTAAAATCTGAATATAAACTTCCATTGAATCCATGAACTACAAATTTATAGGTAAAAATGCCAGGATGTCCAGAGGTGGGGAATAGCTAACATCTAAAAAATAAACAGCAACCAAAACAAAATAGAGATTTTAGTTTCTGCCCACCTTGTGGGAGTCAAAGTTTGGAGTTTGATGCTGTAGTATTAGGGGATGTGGTAAAGACATTAAGCTTTCCTTTAAAGTCCCAAAAGGATCATGCCAAAGAAAAAAATCAAGTTATGAAAATAAGGATTTCCCTTGGGGTAAAGGAGAAGTTGAAACACACCCTCCAAAACAACAAATAAAACTAAGTACCACATATTCTAGGTGCTATGTTAATAATATAACAAAACCCAACTTTCTTCAAGGAAAATAACATTATTCAAAACATGTACTGTATAATAAAAAAAATCACTAAACATGAGACCAAACAGGAAAATGTAACCATGATTTAGAAAAACTGTAGCCAATAGAAACATGCCTTAAATAGTGGTTTCAAAGATAAATACTATAAAATAACTAACATATATTTAAAAGTCCATAAAATAGCTCAGAACTGAAAACAATCAAATATCCTATAACAGGTGAATAATTAAAGTGTAGCACATTCATACCATGTAATACTAGTCCAATACAATAATAAAATACTGATACATGTGACAATTTGGATAATTCTCAAGCATTATACTGAGTGAGGAAAAAAGCCAATCTTTCAAAAAGTGTGTACTTTTTGATCCCATGTATATAACATTCCTGAAACAACAAAATTACAGGGATAGAGAACAGACTAGTGGCCAGAAGCTTTAGTAGGAAAGGCAGTGGATAGGCTTAATGATTAAGAAGGGACAGAATGAGGGAGATTTTTGTCATGGTGGAATAGTTCTGCACTTCGATTGCAGTGGTAATTACACAAAATCTACACAAGTAATAAAATTACACAGAACTATGCACATGTTATACAAATGTCAGTCCCTTAGTTTTGCTACTATATAGTAAGAAGTTAGGTGAAGTACAACCAAAATTGAGTGAAGAGTCCATGTAACCATTCTGTGATATCTCTGCAACATTCTAGGACTCTGTAATAATTTTAAAATAAAAAGTTTAAAATACAGAAAATAAGAAAATATGAATACAATGAATAAAGAAACGGAGTTTTGAAAATCAATGAAAACTAAAAGAAGAATCAATGGAAATCACAAAATTGAAAATTTCATTAGGTAAATTAATATCACATTCTAAGCAACAGAGGAAAGAATTAGCAAGATTAAAGGCCAGGCTAGGCTTCTCTGAATTTCTCAGTTCTGACCACGAATGCTCCTATTTTGAGATTTGTTTAACTGACATCATTTATATTTTGTATTCTCATCATTCTCACAAGATCCTGTACTTTTCTACCCTAGGACTTCCATAATAAGGAGGACATTTTGTTTGCCTCTCTCTTACTACACAGCAGCTTCCTAAGCACAGGCACCACGGAATTTGTATATGTTCTTTGTCTATGTTCTGTACTCAGAAAGCAGAACAAATACCAAAGAAGTACAATAAAATGAATGAATGAATGAGTAAATGAAAGATTAGTTTGCAAAGACTACACCGGGCACTGACTGTTACATCAAAATGTTTTATAAAATTATGTCTTCACAATAAGTAAGAAAAAAAAAAAAATCTGCCCCAAACTGTTACTGTCCCTATCACTTTGATTTTAAATTTTAAGTCTGCGTTATATCAAATCTGCTATAATTTCTGAATCGCACTGTCATATAATATTACATATAATCTTTAAGGGAGTGTTCTAGCTGAGATTGTATTGACTTCTTCATATTCAGATGTAATGATACTGTGTTACCATCTCATGCAACTTGTTTTAATCATCCCTGCAGTCGCATAGATATAGCAGATGTCAACTTCCTTATCCTTTTCTAAAACCAGGGGCTCAAAGAGACAATGTCTCAGTAACAAGCTTCACCTGTCTAGTGTATCATCTCCATCAGTTAAACTAATAATGAAGATTGCATAGTATTTTAAAATGCTACCCTGTGGTTAAATTTAAAAATAGAAGATATTAGATTTCCCCTTGAATGGTTGGATGAGCTTCCTTTTTCCCTTTTAGATGCTTGTCAAAAGTTAATTTAAATAGCATGTATGTTATGGTCCCAGACAACTTCCATTTTTAGGGATTCTAATACTTACATGGGCATGTTGAACACGGAGTGGCATGGTTCATAATTACACTTTGTTTTTATGGTCTCTGCTGGGCAGTCGGGTCAAGGCATGTCTGTACTGAAGCTTCTGAATGTAAGCCTGGTATTGATTTATATCTCCACCAGCTGCTCTGCAGCATTTTTTAATATGAGTACAGCTGCTGAATCCAGGCATTAGGAGAGTTTTATTCTCCAAGGTGATAAAGATTATAGATTCATGAACCCCTCAGGCATCATTGGAAACTAAGGACGGTATTTAGAGTTTTGAAAGATAGATTTCACAGCACAACAAGACTTTAAGTAAGCTACCTAAGGGACACTTCTATACTAACCTGGAACTTTTTAGTTGTAAATGCTGGCCACAATGCCTGTCATCTGCAAATAAATGTATTGGATGAAATGGATGTACGGAGAGTCTGTGACCAGAAACTACTCAAAGTCATTCTAACTCCTGAAAGACAATGGGGAATCAACTAGAGGCTCACTCATAATGTGCAGTCACAACCCCAAAAAGCAAGAAATAGAATTTTTCCCTTCTGAATTAGACACTGGTACTGTGATCTGGTCTTTTCTTTCCTGTGTCTGCTTTCTGTGGTAAGTCATCTAAATACTGTCAGGCAGCTTTCTAAATGTAAATCAGTTGTGCGTTACTATGAATTCCAAGGTGCAAAAGCATGTGAAAATGGGAATCACAAAAGTAAACAGCTGCATTCTTAACTCCAGGTTGAAACAGCTCCTTACCTGTTAGCTTTTGCTCTTGGATCCCACTTCCACTTCATCTCCTCACCTTCAGGCCAACTGGAAAGCTTAGCTTGCCTTTGATTGTTCTCACTGAGCATCTTGAGTTGTGCAGAAATCCAGATTTTCTGCTGACAATTTGTGCTAATAGTTCATAAGCTTCTTTAACCCTTAAACCTCTGGTTTGGTTCAAGTCTAGCCTATGTCCAGAGTTTTCAACAATCTGTTTCCTTTACAGGAATTTCTCTCTCTTCCTCTCCCTCTCCCTTTTCCTTTTCCTCCTTCCTTCCTATTGTCCATTTTTCTCTACCCAAACATCTAGGATCCTTTTGATGGATGAGAAAGAAATGTAGCTTACTAAACTGGCTCAAGAATGAAAAAAAAAAGTAGAGGGACTTATTTCAGCTCACACAACTGTAGAGTCCACGCATAGTTCTATTTTCGTATGAGCCTATTATCCAGGTGTTCAAATAGTGCCTTTCAGACAGTATCCCTTTTCGTCTCTTCATTCTGCTTTTCTTAACATGGCCTTATTTTTAGTAGATCCTTCTCCCATGGTAACCTCAAATTCCACATTTGTCAAGCTCTACAATTCTAGCACAAAAGTA